CAAGAGCAGTGGCGACCTCTGGAGGACACCACTGCAAATTACAACAACAAACCTCACGTTTATGTCAAGCTGATGATTATTATTTTTAATACTTCACTCTTCATCATCACTCATCTACTAACTTCATCTTGATTATTTTTGATAGTAAAAATAAGATTTCCTTGAGTTTTTAATGTTTAAAGTAGAATTAGACCTGCTATGATATATAGCGTGGAGACAGTGGCACTGACAAAAAGACAAGAAGCAGAGCAAAAGATGTTAACGTTTTTATTAGTGACCAGGGGAGACATGATTATTGTTGCAGCTCAGGTTGAGTGGTTTGAAGATAAAGCCAGAGAAACAAGGCTGGGATGGTTTGCACATGTGCAGAGGACGGATAGTGGATATATTGGACAAAGGATGCTGAAGATGAAGCCGGCAGGTAGCAGGAAAAGAGGAAGACTACAAACAAAATTTATGGCTGTAGCGAAGGGAAGGCATGCAGAGAGATGGGTGTGATAGAAGAGGATAATAGGGATAGGGTATATTGTGACCCCTGAAGGGAGCAGCCAAAACAGTGAGAAAAGGGCAAAGAGTGTCCCTTCAGTGAGAGGCAGGAGTTTTTACGTTTTTTAAACTTAAAAAATGTATAAAACCAGATTTTTCTTCAATTGTGAAATCGTGTAACCACTAGATGGAGTGAGAAGTTAGTGTGAAACATACAGTACAGAAGGCCTCTCACTGTAATCTGCTATAACGCTGTTAAGTTGTTAAGTTGTTAGTTGTTGAATTTGTTATTTTGGGATTTTTTTTGATGAAAAGAATAAAATTCTGTATCCAAAATGTTTATCTGACAGCGATACACAGCTGTTGTATGGATGGATGTCCCGTAGAGATTTGGACACCTTGTTTTTAAGGCGATAGTTGTCTCTGCTAATAATATTACACTCAACAGTATTATTCTCTCCTTTTGCTGAAGCTTCCCCTCTTTAATCAGCTGTGGTCTACAGTAACAGAATAAATGACCAAAAGTCAGGATCTAAAAAGAAAACACTTGTGTGCAAGTATGTATGTGTGTGAAATGCTACATTAAAAAAACTGCATTCTTTCAATTGAAATTATTATTTTGTTTTGCAATATTCATTAAAACTTTGGAAACCTCTTGTAGTTCTTCTCAGTTGGCCCTCTATTTCTGTTTCTCTTACTGTGGGTATATGTGCCCTTTATCGCTCATGGTGTCAGGGCACCTGTTCCTGCACGCTTTCACGCTGTCTGATCTTGGTCTACTTTGCATGCAGTGGGGTTTTCTTCACCCTCAAAGTGGAAACAAAGGGCGGGGGAAGACATGTGCAACATGTGATGGAAACACAAACCTTATTCCGGGTTAAAGAAATGGATCAACAAAGAGAGGGGTGGACAAAAAGGAAAAGAGGAGTTGCATGAAGCAGAGAACCTTCCGAGCGGTCCACAACAAAACAGCATCATGTCAATGTTGTTTTTTCTTCCTTCCTTCAAACCTCCTCTTTTTTTGTCTCTCCGGTCTCTTGTTGCTTCTCTGTCTTTAACGCCCCATCTGTTTGCTTCTCCTCTTCCTTCCTCTTTTTCTTGTTTTCTTCATACATTGAGACTCATATGTACTTTTCCCCCCTTCTTCTCCTCTTTTCTTCTTCTGTCGGCCTCTTGAAACTCATGCTCAGTAATCTCTGTGGCCTAGTTTTCCTAAATTTTGGTATGAAAACATACATGTCTTGGTCTTGTCAGCATAGCAAGGTCACATTCTTTCATATAAGTGAGAGTTAAATAAGATACACAGCAGCTCAGAATCTTTAGCATGTAATCAGTGTTGGGAAGGTTACTTTTAAAATGTATTCCACTACAGATTACAGAATACATGCCCCAAAATGTATTTTGTAATTTATTCCATTATGTTACTGAGAGTAACGTATTCTGAATACTTTGGATTACTTAATAAATATCACAGCAATGTACTCTTGCTGTGTGATTTATTACTGTTACTGAAGGTTACTCGCCATACCACTACCAACTAGATTTAATATAAAATGAATAAGTGGGGTGGACATTAGGTAAGGCTGC